TATTATTTTAACTGAATGATTAATGTTAAATTTTATTTTTTTAATAAAAATTAATATTAAAAAAATATTTTTAATATGTTTTCTAATAACACATATTAGAAGAATCCAAAAATAAAAAATTGAGAAGCTCGATCTTTTACGACTCCCCCTAGAGGCCAGGTCCACCATCATATAATTAAACTTGAATTCATCGAGGACGAACCTCGACATTTGAGTTTCAAGAGAAATTGGTTATTTAATTAATTCCTTATTAAGCAAACTATTATTTCGATAAAATTATTTGTTAATTATTTGTTTTATAAGTAAATTAATTAAAGAGAGATTTAATTCGACAGCCAAAAAGAAAAAGAGAGAGAGATTTAACTGTAGGTACATATTTTAGGCGAATTAGATTACAAAAATAGCACTCATTTTTCAAATTCAAACTCACTATAGTTTGATTCATCAATTGTTTTCATTACAGCCGGTGAAAAACAAAAAACAAAAAAACAAAGAAGAAGTGGAAGATTTAATTGATATTCCTCTTAATCTCTTTCAATTTAACATATTAATTTTAAGATTATTAGTCTCTACCTAAAAACTTAATGATATTAACCCCTTAACAATAATACAATTTAAAGAAATTCTCATATATTTAATAATTTGAAGTGCACATTATTATTATTGTTTTGATAATAAATGGAGAAATTATATTAATTAAAAAAGAAATACAGAAAAACTGCATTGCAGGGCATTTAGCCTAAAGTATTATGGCCTGAAGATAAAATCAGAAACATAACTTAAAGCATTAGTAGTAGATTTAAACTATATTTTTGATGAATATAGACAATTAAGTAAAGAAGTAAAAAGAGCCATCTGCAACTAGAGATTGCTATTGCAATCGCTGTATGGGTTAAATAGTGCTACTAAGGTAGAAAGGAAAGTCTCTTTGAGCATCAGAAGCTACCAGACGTCCTCACCTATTTAATCAACTTTGTGGGGAGAGCAAGGATTCCGACAACAAATAGTCCCCAACCTTCATGTTGCCTCCCAATTTATTTCTAAAAATTAACCAACAAAAAAAGGGGGCAAAGAACCACCTATACAAGCACAGTGCTGCCCAACCTTGAATGCGATGCCTCACCAATTTTGTCAATCCTCTGTACAAGCACAGGCTTCCCAATCGCCATCGAATACCCCTAATCATGTTCCCAACTGTGCTAAACCTCTACAATCCCATACTGTCAAGACCTATTAAGGGAACTAGAGCCCCTTTGCCCGCTTGAAAACCATGCTTCCCATGCCACCATAACCGACGTCACCCACAACATCCTTTTCCCTCCGGAGTTGGCAGCCATATTGAAAATTGGAATGAACTAACCTTGTCAAATTTGATCCCTGCCAAAATCACATCCCGAGAGATGCCCTGCACGATAAATAGGAGAAAAACCAACCACAAGCAGGATCAATTCTCTCCCTATGCCAGTCGAAGCCTTTGAGAAACACCCCTAGATCTAGATCTGAATAGGCCGCCACCTTGTGGTCCCTTAGGCTGAAGTTTCCAAAGCAAGGTGGGCGACGAAGGTGGAGGATAGAGCAAGAAGGGGAAGGAGAGGGTAAGAGGAAAGCAGAAAGGGAGGAGCTCCATTGTTGGAACCCGCCGCCTTTGCTCCAACCCTAGGCAGAGCACGGGAGTGAAGTGCACATTATTGATTATACACTATCTCTATCTTAATCAACCTCACTTGAGTATTTCTATCCTATATGGCATGTCACCATAGTAATAAGCAGAAAATTCTCGTTTAATTTAATGTAATACAAGCTTTACTCTATCATACTAAATTTTTTTTAAAAAAAAAAAGAGAGAAAAAATTAAAGCAAAAATCAAAGGTTATGCATAGTGACATGTCATGTAAAATAAAGATCTAAAGATATTGATGTATCGCTAAATAAGTAAAAGTAATATTTAACTAATAGTGTACACTTTAAATCTGTTAAATAAAAAGAAACTCCAAATCATATTATTTAGGGGCTCAAACTCTTTAATTTTTAGATAAAAACCAATAATTTTAAATTTTATAAGTAAGAAGGTTAAATAATGGTTCAAGATACTGAAGAATCACGAAACACTCGTACTTTTTATCATGCGGGTTGGGAACGGGGACTTGATTCCATTGGACAAGTGGGACAAACTTATCATACATCCCATAATGCATCCTAGAGAACATGTGGGCATGCCTCGCAGTCTTACCTTCTATTCAACACAGTTTTTAGTCTGCAAGCAACGCCATTCTACCTACCTTGCTACTCTCATAAATTTAATCACAATAAGAAGATGCAAGTAGCATGTGATTAGCTAAAACCAACTTTGTTTTTTCAATAATAGTCTTTATTTTTAAAAATTAAGTCTTTATTTTGAATTATCTTTTTTCGTTTGAAGTAAGAGATCTTGAATTCAAGTTGCATGGTATGCAGGTAGAGTGAAATAAGAAATGAGAGAGGATTACTTCTCATTGTGCAACTAACATAAAAAAAAATCTCATTTTAAATTATATAACATGTAAATACATTAAAATATAAGACGGAATGAGGTGTTTTTTTCTTTAAGAAAAAATTATCATAACGCACTTAATTTCGTGTAATTAAGATACATCAACTCAACAATTGTTGTGTCTTGATTGAATGAAATATGTATCCAGGTACCATGTAAGAATTCCTCTTCAAATATATGATAGATTGGAAAAAGAAAAAAATAAATTAAATGATTCATCATCTTGAATTTTTGACAAAAAATAATATTATGCTATGTTTGGATTATTATTTCAAAGGA